AAATTTTGGAATAGGCCATTTTCCAACTACACATTTTTAATATTAATGTTAATACAAATTCTTTATCTGAATTATTCGTTTTAGTTTTATTTGGATTGTCCATTTTATTTGAATTATTCATTTGAATTATTCATTTTATTTGTTTTATTTGTTTATTCGTTTTATTCATTTATTTGTTTTATTAGTTTTATTCATTTATTTGTTTTATTCGCTTTATTCGCTTTATTCGTTTTATTCGTTTATTCATTTTTATTCGTTTTTATTCGATTTTGTTCGGTTTTATTCGTTTATTCGAATTATTCATTTTATTTGTTTATTCAAATTATTCATTTTATTCGTTTATTCGTTTATAAAATATTAATTCACATCTTGATGCAATAAATTCTATATTAATATTAATATTATTGTTAAGGGATTTGTAAATAAGATAAGTAGAAAATAAACGGAAAATAAGTAGAAAATCATGCTTATTTTCTATTTAAATTTGCAAGAAACAAGAATGTTTTAAGTGTTTCCCCATAATAGTCAAAATGTGCTTAAATTACACTTGAAATATGTTTAAAACATACTTATTCCATGCTCAAAACATTAATTAAATTCTATTTAAATTAAGTGTGTTTTAGTGGTATAATAAGTATGTTTTAAGTACGCAGACTTTGCATACACTTGACTCAATTGGGTGACTTTTTGATGCAATTAATTGAGTCATATGAAAAAAATATAAGTAATTAAGTCAAGACGCAATTAAAATTGAGATTTTGGGAATTAAGTCAAAGCCAAATTAATTTTGACAACATGTAAAAATTTTCTAAGCTTACACAATTAACAATGCATAAAATCACGTGAAAGTCACAGGCATGCATTTAGGGAGGGTGGTTTTATATAGTTGGGAATGAAAAAAGCCTATGCAATGCAGGTATAGAGGGTGCACTTATTTCTTAAGTCCCAAGCTTGGAAATGAGTGAAAGTGTGCATTTATGCCCTATAAAAAATTATTGACTAAAAATGTACGGGAAAACAGTAGATGAACTATACATGGGATGGTAATTATTTTGCCAAAACGTAATACGTAATACGTAATACGTAATTACGAAATTAATTACGAAATTAATTACGGGTGACGAAATCAATTACGGGTGACGAAATCAATTACGCGTGACGAAATCAATTACGAATGACAAAATTTAAATGACACCTATTATTTATCTCGTTATACCAGTATAATGACATAATTTGTCAACTTTTTTTAGAAATATAGAATTTATTCTGTTATAACAACATGTCAGTATAATGG